ATTCAATAATCCTCACTTGAACAATTGTAAGCCAACTATGATCGATCCAGATTCCTTGTCACTTATCCTCTCCCTACTCTGATTCAGTACCACATAGAAAACAAAAAATGAGTCGCCCTGAGCAAAACAAATCCAGCAGAAAAACCAACTACAATCCTTACCATATGAATTAAATGAAAAGCCAAAAATAAAAAAATATAGTACTTTAACGACTAGTCTTGCAAATATGACCCAGACGGCGGTTCAGGAGGGGAGCGAACTGTCGGTCTGACTTCCCCATCGATCAGCCCTTCATTGCTCCCCGTCCGCTCATTGCTCATGCCGCCTCCACCATTGTCCATTATTTTTCAGCAACATTTGTCCTCTCCTGTGTACTTGGGCTTGGGCTCGGACGCACGCCAAGTTCCCAACGAACATGCCGCATTGTGTTGGACGAAATCTACAATGTGACTAGTTTTCTAATATAAAATTTGTTAGATTAAAATATTGAAGGAGTTGCATTTTTAGTTAATTTTACTATATTTGTCACGTTATCATATTAATTAACCATATTTATTACATGCTAATATTAATCGTATAAAAATTGTTAGATTAAAAACTTAAAGTAGTTGCATTTTAGTTAATTTTACTACACTCGTTAGATTAAAGTATTTAAGTAGTTGGATTTTATTTGTACTTGCGATTCAATACTTTATAGACTTGTAGACTAGTCACATTTTGATATAAAAGTCATATTTTTATTAAATTTTCATATTACTTACATTTTAATATAATAGTCACATTTTAATTGTACTCACAAATAAGTTTTTTTTTGTACTCACAAATAAGTATTTGTTACAAATTACTTACATAAAACTCACGTTTTCTTACATAAAATGATATTTTAGTTACATTTTTATATTAGTTGCATTGTATTTGTACTCACATTTACATAATTGTTAGAATTTAATATTTGTTACATTTTAAGATAGAACGAGGTAGACATTATGTTGATATGGGTAACCTCCAACGCAACCGAAAAAAGGAGATTGCGAAGAACCATCCTAATTCGCGAGGCATAGGTAAAGGATATGTCGGGTCTTCTTCTCAAAGCCGAGATGATTTTGAAACGACTTACGACCGGAGAAATGCGATGTCTGACGCGCAATTACAACAACTATTGGCCCAACGGGATGGGCGGTTTTACCAACAACAACAACTTCCCAAGATTGACTAAGAGATGGAGGATGATGATGCCAAACAGGAGCTGAGGAGCCTGCGACTGTTGAAGAGGAACAAGGCGACGAGGAAACACCCGACGAGGACGAGCCTGATTCATCCCAACCCGGTAAGAAAGGTGAATCTCATCTTATGAAAAAAAAAAATACACAAAATGAAAGAAAACGGATAGCAAGAAGTGGTGGACAACTAGCGACCATTGTTCAAAAAATATAAGCTTGGGGATTGCGCAAGGATACGGCGGCGTTGATAGCCTCATAGGGATTTGAAGGGAAAACACCCCGTGGGGTATGCAAAATTAAAAGGCAAGGGGACGCAAACACAAATATCGAGGTTTGCAACTGGACAACCCTATGGTAATGTCTCCTATGATAATTTTCAAACATTTAATTGCTATGTCTGAACTAATTGTTGAAGAAAATTTGTCTTTTATTTTTTCCGAAAGTCTTGCTTTAAAAGTTTATGTTCAAGATTCTTTAAATCCCCAATTTCGAAACTATAGTCGCAGAACGATTGGAAAAGAAGTTATAAGGCAATACATTTTGGAAAAGGATAGATAAAAATGTTTTTCGCCAACTTTGATGGACGTTAGTATTTGTAGTAATATATGGGAGGAAACTTATCGCTTTTCGAGAATTTAATGACCGACACACCGATGATAATATTTAGGTTATATTCTCATCGAGCGTATTTTAACTGAATATAATTTGATTGATAAAGTTTTTTGCTATGGGTTTTGATAATGCTAATAATAACACTGATGTTATACCTAGATTACGTGAATTGTGTGGTCCTTCTACTTTGATGAATAGATTTTTTCATCAGCATTGTGCATATCATATTCTCAATTTATGTGTAAAAGACGGTTTAACCGCACTAGCTAGGTGGTGTTATGGAGAACGTGAAGGGGAGTATAAGACTGATTTGGGGATAATAATCAACTAAAAAGCAATGATGTCAATATTTGAGGGTTAGACATGTGAATTATTGTGATATTCCAAAAGATTTGGCTATTCGCTGGAATATTACTTATAACTTAATTGTTGTACTTCTTAGATATAAAGTTCATTTTTTCTGCTTTTTTGAAAGAACATGCTAACTATATTATAAATCCGGCTGAGATATGGGAAAATTTTGCGAGGTTTTAGTTTTTTTTTAATAATGCAACTCTAACTTTTTGTCATGTTTATAAACCTATGACAAACCAATTTTTTGTTGAAGTTGTTAATCTCGTCAGTGCTTTTTCTGAATTCCAACGAGCCGATTAGTCGATTACGTTCATTATTTATGTGACTATATGACAGAAAAGCTTTTAAAATATTATACATATATTCCGCCTATTTATGGTATTGACTTTGTTCTTGATCCTCGTTTCAAACTACATGCTTATAAAATTGTAGAGTACTATTATACCTGTTTTTCGGTCCATTACATATGTACGAAGGTAGGCCCGACCCATAGATTCTAAAGACCAATACAACAAGATTAGTAACTTACTTCATGAATTATTTAATGAGTTTCATGCACAATATGTTAACGCACCCCCTCCCCCAAACTAACTGCTTCTTCATCTAAAGGAAAATCTCTTTTCAAATCTACATTTGGTAATCTTATGAAAATAAATAAATGGTGGAAGAAAAATAAGGAATGATCTCGATCTTATCAAAGATGGCCAAACAAATGCTATCAATGTCGGTGTCAATCGTAGCCATGGAACAAGAATTTAGCGAATCCGACAACGTCTTCACCCACTATAGAACAAAATTGAGCGCGCAATCTCTTGAGACGCTCATTTGCTTTCTTGATTGGTTGAAGGCACAATGTATAGTTCAAGAAGTTCACATCGCCCCCGACCGCCACTTCATGGAAGAAAAAACAATTGATGCTGACGGAGATTCCAACAGAATTTCACCAAATGTATATAAGGCTTGAAATTATTTTCAATTATCAATTGTACTTCATATTTTAATAAATATACATTGAACTTTTGTACCATTTGTGAATTAGTTAACAAAAAAAATGACCCGACCCGGGCCCGGGCCGTAGCTCGGCCGGGTAGCCCAACCCAGTACCTGATACCTACCCGGGCCGGCACCGGGCCTCACATTTTTGGGAACAGAGCCCACCAAATCCCGGTCCAGAGCCCAGCCCGACCCCGACCCAATCCACCCCTACTACACACTAGTGACACTACTGCCCCATGCTCCCTACACCCTCAATTCTTTGATCTTAATTAGCTACTACGTACAATAATAGTGAAAAAAACGTATCCAGGTTTATTAACACTGGCTTATATGTTTGGTAAACTTGTTAGCTTTAGTTTCCTCACATCTATGCATACATGAAGATTATTTCATCAATCCACGACCCGAAAGATACATGAATTATCAATTCGTGACCTGAAAGATGAGATGTATCGGTATAGGACCCGAATGATGAAAAGCTATGGACCTAACATTTCATAGGTTTTGATTTATTTAATTTTTTTTATTTATTCCATTGCTAACATTTGATGATTTTTTCTTCACAAAAGTTTATTGGTTTAATAAAACTAAATAATATTTAATTTTTTTAAAATAAAAAAATTAATGAAATTTATGAAAATTTAGGTCCTATATTGATAGTTTTCAATCATTCAGGTCCTAGATTGATAATTTTCCATCAGTCGGGTCCTATATTGATACATTTCATCTTTCAGGTCCCGGATTGATAGTTTGTGTATCTTTCAAGTTCTGGATTGATAAAATTCCCTTTATATTGGATACTCACTACATCACATTCAAAGATTCTCACTTTCCTTTTCTGAACGTCCCACTTAAAGGTTCCCACTTTCTATTTTAGGAAACAATTAACACTCTTAAATACTCCTTCCGTCTCATTGGACTTTGCCAACTTTCCCTTTTTAGTTGTCCCAAAAAACTTTGCAATTTTTCTATTAAAATAACTAATTTGTGGTTCTTCACATTTCTCTTTCATCTGCACAATTCTCAACCACACAGTTTTTACTATTCTTATTTCCCACCTACTTTGCACTTGGCAAAGTCCACCGGGACGGAGGTAGTAACAATTTAATCATCAAATATTAAAAATAATACATTTATAACATTACAATTATCATCAATAACTCACTATATTATATACTCATCAAATTATTTCTCAAAATATATTCGAATTATAACTCACTATATTATATACTCATCAACATTACACGATTGTTTAGATAATCGTGTCATTTTGTCATTTGGACCTTTGAACCTTTGAACGGGACGGAGGGTAGTAATATTTGTTTTATAATATTTGGTTTAGAATTAATAACATTTTTTGTCCTACGAGTTTTATGTCAATTCCACATTTAGGTCACGCCTTTTACTTTGTTCACCACTTAACTAGTTTTTCATTGACCATTTTTTTATGCATCTCCGGCGATTTTAAGTTAAACCACCGGAAAAGGACCATATGTGGGCGAAAAACAATAGTCAGGTACCAAAAGTGGTTAAAGTAAAAAATGTGGACCAATTGTGGATTTGGTGCAATACTCGAAGGACTAAAAGTAGAATTTATTCTTTGATTTATACTCCCGCCGTCCCATTTACCTGTCCTACTTTCCTTTTTGGGTTATCCGGCTTATCCCAAAATAAGTGTCTCCTTTCCTTTTTTGGAAAGAAATATGTGGCCTACACCATTTCACTTTATTATACTCAAACCTCAACCATAACTTTTACTTTTTCAACCATTTCATTAATAACCGTGTCAAGTCAAACTAAGACACATAAAATGGGACGGGGGTAGTAATAAAAAAAAACAGGGGGCATTCCACCTTACATCACATTCATAATAAAACCAAGCATCCTGATCTGCATTATAGCATCTGCTCTACTAAACTAAACATAAAAAATGTCCCAAACACAGCAGAAACTAAAGTATACAACATCATCAAACACAAAATCTCTATCTGCAAAGAAAAGGCAGTAACATGCTTATGTGAAAAAATGGTCTCATTACTGGCTTTCCAGGCTAAGTATACTGTTCCACATACATTCAACCTGGCATCTTTTCTCATTACTCTTGCGCCCCGAAATTGCTCCAAACACATCTTAACAGAGCTTAGAAGTCTAGAGGTGTTCTTTACCTTCATCCATTGCCCATCATTCTGTCACACTTCCGTTGTGAGTGGAAATCGTGTATTAGATGGGGTTATTTTTGAAGGACTTAACTGCTTAAAGGGAATGGTTTCAGGATCAAAATCTCTAAACAAAATGTTCAATATCATATATGGATCATGACTCATGTTAAAGGTGAAGGGAAAATTATAAAATTTCAGCTGAGTACATCATTAACTAAGTGAAATAAAATGATATAGCAGCTATAAAAAGAGGACATATATGTAACATAAACGTACACATAGTTTAAGGTAAATGTTCGGTTCACATGTGTTATGTTAAGACCTAATACGGTAGATATTTGTCTCAAGCATAACTGCTTTCTACGCCAATTGAGATGATCTGCCAAGGCTTATCCATGACAACTTTGAACAAATAAAAAGATGGAATTAAACAAAACTGTTGAAGAAAATAAGAGTGAATAAACTAAATCTAATTGTTGAATAAAGTATTAGTTTAAGTAGTTCAACTTACGAATAGTCACTGTTGACCATCATGTGCAGTGATCTTCTCTGAAATCTTCATCTGCCATATTAAACCTAGTTAGTAATCTTGTGTGAAGTATTAGGCAATTAGGAAAAACATTTGCACAGTCGCAAAAGTAAAGTAGGAAGAATATTTAAGGTAAATTTAATAGCAAAGGGCTGGAAGGTTATTGGAGTAACGAGTGTATATAGCTTCACATGTACACATATCATTTTATAGAAAACTAAGAAAAAACCTGAAATTTCCTTTGTTTCTCCATTTTGGAAGCTTCGTATAAGGAGGTAGATAGGAGTACAAGAAAATTCATGTTAACTTCATTATTGCAAGTAATATGCTAATATAATATTTTATCTATTTCCTTGGTCCCTTCCCATTTTAACATTTGAGAGCTACTAGCCTACTATTAGAGCACATTCTTAAATCTTAACCCCTTTAAACCAAACACATGCTTAGTTGGATAGATTAAATTATTAATTCGTTTCCTGAATAGAAAAACTAACCCTATCATTTCAATAAAAGTTATGTGTTACATTCAACATTTCAACCAAACCCGACGAATTTGGTTCAAGGATGGTGAAGACTGATCTACATACACATGTGTGCATTATACAGGTATTGTTTTACGGCCTTAGTTGATCTGTTGTGCATTATAATAACAGTCATATGCTTCTAGGGGCTTTGGAGTTTCTATGGCTTCACCCTTTCCTCCCTCTGTTTTAGGATATAAAGCTAGGTGATGTTTGAACTGCCCGCACCAATACTTATCTTAGGACAAATGAAAGACTAAAATTTCCGCACTGCAATGAGATCTATTTGGTTCAGACTGGCAAAAGTGCAAAACTTAAGATAAGCACAAATCTAGGGTTTACAAAGATTATTCAGACAAATATTTAAGTAGATAATAAACAGGCATTAAGGGGGAACCGATGAGGTCAACAGAGCCTCTTCAATTGCCATAACTTTCGCTATACAATTGTATAATCAATGATGATATCTCTAAGTGCAGTCATCAATGTATTAGAAGAAAAAGTAATTGCTCCCAATAGGAGTAAAACATAGCACATTTCCCTAAATAGGAGTTAACTCCTAATCTTCCCCAAATAGGAGTAAACATTAATTTTTACCCCTAATATGATAGAGAGCAGAGAGATCAAGGGGCGGGAATGGGCTTGGGCCCACCTCCGTGGGCTGGTTGTGGGCTAGGGTTATAGTTTTTATTTATTATTATAAAGTTTATGCTATGTTTTCTAGTTTGGGCCTATTATTAGTAGAGTATTTAGTAGAGTTAGTATGGGCCTAATTAGGATTTAATTAATTTGGGCTTGATTAGGGTTTCTTGTAGAAGGCAAGGGTTTATCTGGGAATAAAAGTTGGTTTAGCCTTTTGGCTCTGGGCAACAATATTTTTTATCGTTGATTATCTGGGCAACGGTTTACCCCATTGATTTTTATTTTCCGGTTCACAACAATTGGTCCGACATGCCGGATCCCGTTTGCCAGGATGATGAGATCTCAGATTGACTGCTTGAAAGAGATGGTGGCCGAGCAAATTTGGATGAATCAAACCGTAGAGGAGCACGGCATGCGTCTGGCAGAGATCGCCGCATCCCTGGCAGCGCTTACCAAGGCGTTCGTTCCGCCAGTCACGACAAAAACAAGCACGAACGTGGTTGGCAACCCCACCATATCTGCGCACAGCAGCGACGGACAGCCGTGCAGCGTCACTTCCTCCTTGGCTGCGTTCACAAAGGCTCTCGCACCGCCAGCAGCGGAGGAGAATCCATCGGCGGTGGCTTCACTCGACACGGCAGCAACATCCATGTTCGGAACTGGACTGTGCAGCACTTCTCTCACGACGCTGCAATCGTTTGACAGAGAAGACCCGATCGGCTGGGTTGCTAGGGCTGAGCATCAGTTCGAACTGAACTGTACTCCGCCGGGAAAGAAGGTGGCAGCCACTGTAGTTACGATGGAAGGGTCAGCCCTATACCGGTTGGCCTGGATACGGGCACGAAAGCCGGGCATGTCATGGGATGAGCTTACACAGGCGTTGATGGCTCGTTATGACTCACGGTTTAAGGGCAATCACTTTGAACGGCTGTTTGGAGTCAAGCAGACAAGGACCGTGGAGGAGTACATCTCAATTTTTGTTCAACTAACAAGTCAGGTCCCCGAGACTATCTGACGATCACTATTTGGGGTATTTAATGAACGGGTTGAAAGGATCGAGTGGCAGCTTTGCTAAAGATACTGGGCAGCCCTCGAGGACAAATGTGAGCCGGTTTCCGGATTCCAACCTTGAGGGCAAGGTTGTTTCGAAGGAGGATGGATTGATAGAGAGCAGAGAGATCAAGGGGCGGGAACGGGTTTGGGTCCACCTCCGTGGGCTGGTTGTGGGCTAGGGTTATAGTTTTTATTTATTATTGTAAAGTTTATGCTATGTTTTCTAGTTTGGGCCTATTATTAGTAGAGTATTTAGTAGAGTTAGTATGAGCCTAATTAGGATTTAATTAATTTGGGCTTGATTAGGGTTTCTTGTAGAAGGCTATTTATTCCCCTCGCTGGTTATCTGGGAATAAAAGTTGGTTTACCCCGTTGATTTTTATTTTTCGGTTCACAACATAATACCCTCTAGTTAATTATTGCTTCCCCCCCAATTTCCCTTAGGCAACCAGGGCAGTCCGTCTGTGGCGGGGCAGGGCGTTGGTAGTGGGGGCAGTTCAGTGGTGGCGGAGGCAGACGGCAGCGGCGGCTGGCGGCGGAGCTCCAGAGACCGGCGGAAGTTGTGTCAGAATGGCGGCAGAAACATTCTGGGATTTTTTTGGGTGGTGGCAGATTCCGGTCGGCGGTGGTGGCCGAACTGATGGTGGCGGCAGGACTGATCTGGAGATTTTTGGCGGATTCCGGCGGTTGGCAGCAACTCCGGTGGCAACTCCAGCAGGAGTGGTCTTGTCCAAGCTTTAAAGAATACTACTAATTGGGAAATTTTACACTCACTCCTATTTTTTGCACTTTCTATATGTTTTGCTCCTATATGGGGAATTCTCTCCTCCGTACAAAATTGCTAAACAGATCAAAAGAAAATTATCGAAAGAATACCAAATAATCCAACTTATGCATATGTAAAACGGGCGGGTCTATCTCGGCATCTCGCAGCTAAAAACAGACCAGAGAAACAGTAGTCCCAATCAAATGTGACATGATTTTTGTTTGTTTATGAAGCATATATTTTAATTTAGTAAAATCCCCATTACAATATCACAAACTATCGAGGTGTCTGTTTGCAGGGACAGTGAATTGTTTTCATTGGAATATGAAAGATGGTTTTGTTTTATTTTCAAATGTTTGGGTTGTTTAAATTTAGGAAAATATTTTAAGAAGAGTCCACATTCCAGAATAGAAGATATCAAGAGAAAATATTTCCAAAATATTTTCAAGAGTCCACATCCAGTGCAAATTTTCAAATTATTTTTACATGAATTTAGTTTTTACATGATCCTCCATTATATTTTCCCAAGAAAATAGTTCCACTGAAAACATTTTCTATGAAATTATTTTCTACAGACAACCCTAAACAGATGAAGTAAACATTAAAAAATAGGAGGACTATTTAGATAGCACATTCCACCTAGACATAAATAAATGCCATAGAAACAGGGAAATAGCAGGAAACCTGCGGGCTGCGGGAATATAGTCAACAATAATGCACGGAACTTGAGAAGAACAATGTTTCCATCTTGGATCAGTTCTTCAGCTTGGGAAATGGCATTTTGAATGGCCAAAAGCTGCTCCACAGTGTTCATTTCCGGAGGAGCTAATACTTTGAGTTCATCAGCTGGCCTACCTTGGCTAGTATAGCGAGTAACATAAAAACCGCAAAAAAAGCTAGCAAGGCAGCAGAAGCATATCTGATATCCCAGCCATCCCCTGCAAGAGAGCTATTTCATTATTTCTACCAAGTTACAATTAATAGATATTACTTGTACGTAAAATATGCAAGAAAACATTTATGCACTCTCTCCATCGGTCCATCCCAACTTCATCCAAAAAACTTCATCCATTTTTTGTCATAAAATAGTGCTCCGATATACAAGTAAATCCATTTTTTATTGACTGTAGTAGAGTGTTATCATCTCAGCACACCCAAAGTTGAACACAATCACTCAACACTATCTTCAGATAATAACTTTATAATCACTCCGTCCTGAAAAGAAGTTATCACTTTCGTTTTCTGGATTTCACAAAATGAATATCCATTTCTAGAATATGTAAGGATCATACTAGTACAAGGGCAGTAAGACTGTAAGACGAAGAATCGTTGGTTCTCTACTTAGTTTGGGTCTAGTCTACTCCAATATTCAAATGTGAAGTAAACATCAACGTTAGAATTTTTTCGGGGGTGAGTTAGCAGAAAATGAGGCAGTCTACCTTTCCATGCCAATGAGGTACTTGTCATAGATAGATAAATGAAGTCTATAATCTGTTGATGAAGTAAGGACGGGGAAAATGCTATCACTGACAATCACATTGGCAATTATGGGAACTGCAGATAAAATTCTGAAAGGCTTCTCCACACCAACAGTGGCTTCGTCCATCTGCAATTAAAAAAATTACCCAAACCAGTATCTGGTCAAATTTTCATCCAACCATGGTGACACCATGGGATTTGAGAAAAAACTTCAGCAGGAGAAAGTTTTCATTTCCCAATACCTGAGGCTTGATTATGTTTCTTGTCCCTAGAAATATAATGTTAGGTGTTTTAGAACCTGTAAAATCATTTTGATAATCATCCTTGTAATTTATGTGGTTTTTTGGTCAACCTCTTGTTAAAGAACCGGTGTGCTGCACAGAACTCCTCCATGTCAACTTTCTGTAACTGGTTGCAACATATAGCTAGGGCTACTAGAAACTCACTATTTCCCTTCCAACTTATACCTTTCTGACTCTAGAGAAAATATTAGGCGTTCTTTAAAAAGAGAGGTAGGGCTAGATTAGACTTATGTGAGGCTGGCGCCATATAATCACTTAAAATGGAATTTGACAGACTCAAAGAGGAACTAAAAAAGGCATAAATTACAAGGATGGGTGACATAAATAATACTTTTACAATGACCTAAAACTAAAAGCCCTATATTTACTACACGAAATAAACAAATGATTGACACATACACTGGCAGATGCTTGACTTAAAGCGGCGGGAAACTCTCACGCAACCATCACATCAAATGTAAGACACCAGAAACTTCGGTCACCAGATACCCATTTACATTTACAGACAATGCCAGAGCCTTGAGCTACCTTGTTCACAAGGAAGAAATTGAAATCATCATCACGCCCAGCCAAAACCTAATCCGTTCTATCCCATCAAGCAAGTACGGCCCTTCCATCTAGTCTATTTTCGTGTTTGCATGCAAATTTTTTGTTCTAAGGCTTGGATGTTGTATACATAAACACCAAAAAATTGGATCTTATACACAAAGGAAAAGAATACAACCTGCTGGTGAAATACTCAGTTGAATATTTATTCTTCTGGTATCATCTCTGTTTCCAGGCCAAATGTCACACAATTCCTGCTGTTTATTAGTGATTATTTTATTTATTTATTCCTTCTCTTTGCTGAACGACAGCCACGTTTACTCTACTAAATCCGACTTCCTTCTTTCCAACTGGAGAGCTTATCCACCGTTCCATTAGTTTTCCTTTAGCTTTCTCAAGAATCCTTGCACGATCTTCTATTCTTCCAGCGATGGCATAGGCACTGGAGAGAGTTACCGAATCCGCTGGATGTTCATCAAACCTCTGCTCCAACTCTCTCTTAACGTCTTCCCCTAAACAAATGTTGCCATACAGTCTGCATGCTGCTAGCAATGTACGCCACATAGTGGCATCGTCCTTAATGGGCAAGCTCTGGGTTAGCTTTTTAGCTTCTTCTAACAACCCACTACGGCCCATGAGATCAATAACACATCCATAATGCCCAATCTTTGGAGAAAATGAATATTTGTCTATCATTCTTCTGAAAAAACTATTCCCCTCAGCCACCAAACCCTTGTGGCTACAGGCACTCAGCACCGCCAAGAATGTGACTTCATTGGGCATGCACCCTTCTTCCTCCATTCTGTGAAAAAGGGAAATGGCATTTTCTGCCTGCCCATGTAATCCATATGCAAAAATCATTGAAGTCCAACAAATAGAATCTTTCCTCTCTATGTTTTCAAAAGCTTCAACTGCCTCTTTCAGAAAACCACACTTCATATACATATCTATAAGAGTTGTTCCCACAGTTGCATCCAACACTAACTGTTGCTCTTTTATGTAGTCATGGACATATCGACCTACAGTGAGATCTCCAGAGGCTTCAGAAACTGAAAGCAGTCCTAGAAATGTTGATGCAATCGGCTTCACTCCATGAAACTTCATTAACCTCAACAATCTGAAAGCTTCACTCATTATTCCGTTTCTAGCATATCCATATATCAAACAGTTCCACATCACAACATCTTTTACAACAGCTTCATCAAAAATTTTACGCCCTGAATCAATGCCACCTATTTTTCCATACATTGAAATCAAAGCACTAGCAACATTCACATTCAGAGAAAGACCAAGTTTGATGCAATGTGAATGTATAGAATCCCCTGATACACGGCCACTTAACTCACCAATGGCCGATGAAATATTCAAAATGGTACTAACACTAACATATAACCCATTACTACTCATCTGTTTATATAAATCTATTACAATGTCATACTTGTGAACCGAAAGATAGCCACCCATTAAGGTGTTCCATGTAACCAAGTCTTTGTCATGAGGGAATTCATCAAACAGTTGTTGTGCATCACGGATCCATCCACTAGCGCACACGAAATGCAAGAGGCTGTTCATCACATTGAGATAAAAGAAAAACCCAGTCCTCAAAAGAACTGAATGAACACCCAAACCAGTCCTGATTGCTGAAACACGGGCACAAGATTTGAGGGTGGCAATGAAGGTGAACTGATCAAATAACCTCTGTAGCCTCATTTGATTGAAGAGGATAAGGGCTCGTCTTGGGTCATCACTGATTGAATAGCTCCTAAGCATGGTATTGAACATGAAAAGGGTTGGGCTACCTATATGTTTGAAAATACTGAGTACATATGTTGTATCACGGATCGAGCTTGCAAGAAGCTTGCTGAGAGGGAAGGAGACGAGGTCAAGGCCAGTCTTGACCATTAAGCCATGGACCTGACGGATTTCTTGGGATTCTTTGCATGATTGCAGTAGAAAAATGAGGGTCTGAACTGAAGAAAGTGAGGGTTTATGGCACATTGGAAAGAACTTTGGCTATGAAATCTTAGTTCGGTGTGGTTAGGGATACAGAAAGGACTCGGCTCTTCGCCCACAAGCTATCACCTTCTCCATTAGCAGCCTCGGGTACAGAGGCGGCTGTCTAGTAAGTGTTTATAACGGACTAGAAAGGAAGCAGGAAGCTACACGTAAGTGTTAAAACATAACCTTATTTTGTTAGGGAGAATTGAAAAATTGAAGTGTAACGGAAGTGTTTTCACATAAATTGACAAAAATATCCTCATCAAAGTAATTAGTCCAAATACCTTAATAGCTGTTGGTGGGTGAGGTGAAGATTCTAAATAAAATGTAAAACATGAAAAAGTGTGGAACTGTTGGGAGAATCGGGTGGGTATATAATATGTGTACTCATACCCCTAACCCTACCTCGCCCTATACCCAGTACCCCTACCCCTACCCTGCACCCCCAATTCCACACCCTTGACCTCTACCCCTACCCTTAACATGACCTTACCATCTACCCCTACTCCTCTACAACCCTTCATACCCACTCATACCCCTAATAACTACCCTACTCATGGGAGTGAGGTCGGGGGAGGGTCGAGGTAGGGTAAGAGGGTACAGGTAGGGGTGGGGTTATGGTCGAGGGTGGTTAAGCGCTAGGGGTAGGGAGTGGGTGTGATGGGGTAAACCGGGGTCGAGGTAGGGGAAGGTGGTAGGGGGTAAAGGGGTAGGGGTCAGGGTAGGGAAGGGTACAAGCGGGGGGTTGCGGGTTGGGGTAGGGTGGTAAGGGTTAGGGGTGGGGGAAGGATGACGGTGGGGTGGTTAAGCGCTAGGGGTAGGGTCGTAGTTAGGGGTAAGGAAGGGGTAGTGGGGTATGGGTGGGGTCGGGGTAAGGTAGGGTAGGCTGGGATATGATAGGGGTGGGGGTAGGATGGCGGTAGAATGGGGTCGGGGTCGGGGTGGGGCCGATGTAGGGGTAGGGTATGGGGTGGGTATGAGATGGGCTAGGTGGTAGGGGTGGGGTAGGATGGTTGTGGGGTGGGGTCGAGATCGAGGTGGGGCCGAGGTAGGGGCAAGTGATAGGGGGTAGGGTCATGGTTAGGGGTAGGGTGGGGATGGTGGGTAGGTCGGGGTCGGGGTAAGGTAGCGTAGAGTAGGGGTGGGCAAAAGACCCGGTCCCGTTGGTCCGTTCCGGAATGTTCCGGTTCCGTTCCGAAATTGTCCCGTTATATTTGGGATACATTATTTTTGTCCCGTACCGGTCCCGAACAGTTTTAAAACAAAACAGGACCGGGACAAGTAAAATATATCCCGTTCCGTCCCGTTGTCCCGAATCCAAAATTGTGCATAGTACTTTGTAGTAGGTTAGTGAGTTCATTAACAACTCATTACGTAATCCAAATAATAATAGTTATTCTTTTTTCACAACCCAAATACAAATGATAATTAAATACTAGTTGATTAATAATATAACACCTAAAAAACTCTAAACTACCTACTATCACATACTATGAACTATCATCTATCCACACAAAAAAGAAATTGATTTTTACTCTCAAAGTATTCTTTTATCATTTTATTATATATTTCTTGATAGACTTTTGTGATATAGTTTTTTCTGCTGCAACTTTTGTTTCATGCAGCTAATCTGGTAAGTTGCATTTTTTTCTCACAATTTTCTATATTAGATATAGCTTTTTTGTCATAGAGTTTTCTTGCGCTAGTTTTTTTTTTTAATTTTTTCAAATAGCTTTGTTTTGTTTTTGGATTGAAATTGTTTGACTACAATTTTTTGGGATGTCCCGAACCGTCCTGTTTTGTCCCGGTACCGATTTAAATGGGACAGCAAAAGGACAACGTCTTGTCCCATCCCGTTCCGAACCGTTATTGTAAAACGGATTCGGGACCGGGACAACTCAATTCCCGTTCCGTCCCGGACCGTGCCCACCCCTAGCGTAGAGTAAGGGGTTGGTGCAGGGTAGGGGGCCGGGATCGGGGTGGGGCCGAGGTAGGGCATGTGGTAGGGGGTAGGTCGGGATAAGGGGTAAGGTGCAAGCTAAAATTATTTCATCTACTCATCTATTATCTACGGAGCCCCGATCTTCGAAATTGCGTATGGCGCTCACGAGGCAGTTTGTTCTATGGTGTATGGCGAAAGCCTCATGGCGCAACCGGGATCCGCACGCCGTGCGGGAGAGCGAAAGTCGGGGCACGCTAAATTAGTTCGCGTGGCTGCACGGTACGCCGCACGCCGTGCGGGCGAATGTGCGGGCGAACGTGCGGTCGTGCGGTTCGGCCTGTTTACGAGTTTTTCTATTTAAATGCCCCCAATTTGTCCGTTTTGGGGGGAGGAGCTTAGAGAGATAAACCTTAGGTCGATTTTGGAGAGCTTTTCAATCTTTGGATTGTCAAGATTTAGGGATTCTTTGTAAGTTTAATCTTTTTAATTAATGCCAAATAATTTTTTTCCATCCCAATTCTATTGTTGATTCGATTATGAATTGTGAGTAGTTTTAATTAGGGATGTGAGATTGATGAATGAGTTATTCATGGTGTATGGCTAGTTTCTTGATGGTTTAAATTGCATGAATATTTATTTAATTCATTGATGGGTTATTTAATGAATTACCCATTAATGAATTACCCATTAATGACCGATTTGCCCCTATTTTTTTTGTTTTAGGCTCAAACTTAAACTTTTCGATGTTGACTGGAGTTCTCGAAGTTGACTTAAACTTTTCGATGTTGACTGAAGTTCTCGAAGTTGACTTAAACTTTTCGATGTTGACTGAAGTTCTCGAACTTGGCTTAAACTTTTCGAAGTTGCCTGAAGTTCTCGCAGTTGGCTTATCGAGAATCTGTGCTTCGAAAAGAACCTTTATCGAGAACCTTGGCTTCGAGAACCTATGTGTCCAGACTCGAGAGGCTGTATCGAAAACCTGTATATCGAGAAACGAATATCGAGAAGCTCAAATCGAGAACTCAAATATCGAGAAGCACTCTGCAACTGGAATTACGATTGCTTGTAGAATAGATTAAGAGATATCTAATTTGTTCTAAGGCACCTTCACACACACTTAATCGTTCGCTAAGAGATTAGTAGCAATTAAGGGGCCGTACGCTCGCTCGTTTTGGCAATGATTTTAGATACCTGTTGCATGAGAGGTCAACCCGGTTCCCTGAATTGTTGTACTCTATGACGTGAGAGCGGTTAGAACTTAGTATTGACCAGTGTTGCTCAATTAAATAATTTTCATGTGATTAAGCCTGGTCAGCCAGAAATCTGATTACCCTGGAATCAATCCTTGTTCCCTTCTGTCATTAATTAGAAAGAATCCATTAGTTAGTCATTTTTTCGCATTAGTAAATTTTCCAATCAACCCAAATCTCGCACAATTGCGTTTATTTTATTTTTTTAATCGCTGAATTTAGTTAATTCCTGATTCCCTTTTTACGTCCCTGTGGAGACGATACTCGTACTTATATCTTGTACTGCTACATTATTTTAAGTGCGAGAAAACTCACATCAGCTAGCAATGATCACAAGCAGATTTAAGAAACTTCATAGATTTCATGCATTGATCAAACTCAATGTTCCATTGCCGGGGAGACTGATTCAGACCGTATGTACCAAGCCTTCCTTAGCAAACACACATAATCACTCTTTTTGGGATCCACAAACCCTTCAGGTTAAGTCATATACTCCCTCCGTTTCTAAAAGAACCTCACACTTTCCTTTTTTGGATGTACCAAAATAAAAGTCACACTTCCCTTATTTCCTTATTTGGCAAAGAAATCTACATCCAAACATTGTCAAACAGTGTCAAACAGTGCCAAACAGTGCCAAACAGTGTCAAACAGTGTCTAAACAGTGTTTTCTACAGTAAAGTCAATTTATTTCCTTAATAATCGTGAAGTCAAACCGTGACTTTCTTTTAGAAACGGAGGGAGTAGATCTTTTTATCAAGATCACCATGCAAGAAAGCAGTTGTCACACCCATCTGTTTCATTCCCCAATTAAAGTGAGCAACAAGAGCAAGCATGATTCCAACAGTAGTAAGTTTTGTCACAGGGGCGAATATCTCAGTATAGTTTACCCCTCCTTTTGAGTAAACCCTTTGGCCACTAACCTAGCCTCACACTCTACAACAGAGCAGTTGGGAGGTATGGGAACTAAGGTGCAGGTTTGGTTAACTCTCATAGACCATGTCTCACTATTCATAGCATCTAGTAGGGCTGCACAAGAATAACCCGAATCCGCATAACCCGCCCGATCCAACCCTACTCGACCCTATTTAATCGGGTATTTGATTTTTTAAAATATTCATGGGTTAAATATGTTTGAACCCGCACCTAATGGGTAGGGTTGCAGAATTAAAATCTCAAACCCGATAGTACCCGACCCGACCAAAGTTCATTTTATTATTATTATTATGCTACAACGTTTTCTTGGATAATTTCAATTTAAAACCAATGTGCACTATCTAGGACTTTATGATATTAGAATTATAATTAAACATTTATCATTTTGACTAGGTGATTATTATATATTTACATTTCCTTCTAAATGAACTTCCTTTACGGAAACAAGTTAATCGAGTTTTAAATTGGTTACATTAATTTCCCACATGAAAGATGCAATCCGAAGTGATTTTTTCCCCCAATACCTGACCCTACCCGACCCGTTCAGGCGTTCATGCATGGTTTACCAACTTATTTTGCGTACCGCGGGTTGGTTAATAGCCAACCCGAACAAGAAGCTGTTCTCTTCACCTGATCTGAATGTTTCTGATCTGAATTTTTTAAGTTCTGATCTGATCTGATCTGAATTTTTATGATATGATCTGATCTGGTCTGATCTGATCAGAATCTTTCTGATCTGATCTGAATGTTCCTGATCTGATCTGAATGTTCCTGATCTGATCTGAATGTTCCTGATCTGATCTGAATGTTCCTGATCTGATCTGAATCCTTCTGATCTGATCTGAATCCTTCTGATCTGATCTGATTTAAATATTTCTAAATTTATAATTATAATTTTAATTTTAATTATTATAAGAGAAAGGGGTCAAATAAGACCTTCTACTATTCTAAAACCATCACATAAGTCCTTGTACTAAAATAAGTATCACATACATACCTCT